TAATTTCAGGGTAAATAATATATCTAGGTGAGTTTTGAGCCTTATTCCTTCTTGTGTTTACCATTCATGATATAGAAACCTTTCAGAACTTGATTGATTTCTCTATGACATCAGACGAACATATACACAAGTAGAATTGATTTAGGCCTTTTTTGTGTTAATCACTTAGCTAAATAGCATATCCTTACCTGAATTACCCTTTGAATCCACCTTTAAACCTTAGCCTTTTCTTGGATTTAAACCCGAGAGTTAAGGCCTTTCCAACCAAAAAACTACCCAAATCCAGACTCAAAGAGAAGTAAGGAGCATGAAATCATTATAAAAATCTAGTTCTACTCGCCAACAACAATTCCAGAATAATAAGAAGTGTCAAAGTACTAGAAAGAAAAAAAAAATCACTTTTGTTGGTGTGTGCCAAAGTAATAAAGGAGTTTGAAAGGCAATCCAACACAAAAGTGACAACTGTTTTCAAAGATACAACTAGAACAAAGCTACAAGGTACATTCATCCATATTCTTTATTTTTTCTAAAGTCTTAGCCCACTTACATACTTTAACCTACCCTTAACGCTAACCCCATTATAAGCCAAGAAAAAGTTCTATTAATATGTGTTCTAATGGTGGAAATTTAAAGATCTTTCAAGCCTATGGTAAAGGAACATGTCATGATGTGATGATGAGTGAAATTTCCAACAAAAATACTTGAGAGTGTAGAATAAACACTTGTGATGTATGTCATTTTACTCTTTATTTCTTGATCTTAGAGCATTTTTTAAGCTAATTTTTTTCTTCATAAATCATGCATTTAACATATTTCCATAAAAAGCATATCATAATTCAATTTTTCTTAATTTGTTACATAGTTTTAGCATAAAAAATAATATATATGCATACATTTACAATGCATATTTCTTTTCTTCTTTTGTAAGAGAAAAAACATTTGAGATGGATCAAATTGATGGAAATAAATATCCAAATTAATGGAAATAAATATCCAAATTGATGCAATCGAATTTAACTATCCTCGGAAGCCCAAGTTTGTTTAGACAACCCACTAGCATAATGTTACAAATGCAAATTTTGAATCAAGCAAATTAATTGGTGTGAGAATCCAATTTAGTTGAATTAAAGACCAACAATAATCAATTATTAAATGCAAATCAGTGCTAGATCACTCAACATAGGAAATAAACATTATTTTCTCCAAATTAAGTCCATAAATTTCTCTTCATAGCAATCCAATTTTACAATTTTTTATTTGAGAAACATTTAATTTTATTGTAATTAATTTTAGGCTTAATTTCTTTTGACTAATTCTCTTATAAATAGATATCTTATGACAACACGATCACAATCTCTTACTCTAGGGTGAGCTACTATTTAGTCTCATCCCCGTTTTCTTTTCTGTTCTCAGTTTTTAGTTAAGCAAGCTCATATACTACTATTATCATTGTTATTGCATGTCTGGTTTGTTCTCTTTTATTAATTTGCAATTTCTATTAAACACATAAGTGTATATTGTTCTATTTAATTTATTTAGTACTCATTTTAATTTTTGCTATTTAAATATTTAGAATTTTTATTCCAAGATCGCTTAATTTTCATTATCAATTCATCTCTTTTCCAATTCCAATTTTTAACTTAGTTTTAGAGTTATCGTTTCTAAAAATTTTAAATTTAATTACTGCACTATTTAATTTAAAAACAATTTTTTTATTTTTTCACTTTTAATTAAAAACACTTTATTTTAATTTTATAAATTTCAGTTATTTAAATTCATCGTCAATTTAATTTTAATTACTGCACTATTTTGCTTTAAAGAAATTTTTTATTCTTTCACTTTTTAATTAAAAGCACTTTATTTTAAATTTATAAATTTCAATTATTTAAATTATGTTTTTATTTAAATTATGTTTTTATTTAATTTTAATTGTCGTTAATATTCTATAACAATTTGATTTTAATTTTTATTATTTTGCATCAATTTATTTTTCATGCATCCCCTATTTATTGTTATCTACTATTTTAGAGAGAATGATATGTGGTAATGAGTACGTTGCTATAATTGTATCCTTGTGAAATTCGACACAGAGTTAACTATACTATATTAATTTAACAACTTATTTATTATTTTTTATCAATATTTTGTGTGACCAAAATGTTGTTATCAATGTCTAAGTAAGACAATCTTAGACAAGACTCTAAGTGAAACTTGGAGCGAGAAAAATCATTGGCTAAACACTTAAGAGTTTTTGGATCTATCTACTATTTACATGTACCGGATCATAAAAGGCAAAAATTAGAAGACAAGACTATACGAAAAATCTTCTTGGGATATAGCACGCAAACAAAAAACTATAAAGTAGTAGACAAACAAGCTCACCATCAATGGAGATGTTAAAATTGATGAAAATGCTTATTGAAATTGGGAAAAAGGAAGAATCATGAGAAACAACATATTCTTTTTAGTATAACAATTTCAAGAAGAAATTCAAGAAGTGATAGAAGATTCAAATATGCTTCCTTCATCTACACAACAACAAGATATTTCATCAAAGTCTACTCCCTAGAAGAGTAAGATCCTCTAGGTGATATATATGAAACATGCAACATGACAATGGTTAAACCTAAATACTATGAAAAGGCAACAATGTAAGAAGTATGAATCAAGACCATGGAGGATGAAATTAAAATTATTGAAAAGAGAAATACTTGAGAATTAGTAGACTGCTACACTACTACAAAATATGCTTTCAACGTCGCCATTTAACGTCGGTTAAAGCTGAGCCGACGTTAAATGCACTTTCAACGTCGGTTGATTAAAAACCGACGTTGAATGTGTTTTCACCAAAAATTCTTTTAAGTTAGAGAATTGTCACTGGCAGTGGTTCGAACCTAGTACTTTAAAGTTGAAAGTTGATACTCCAACCACTAAACTACTGTAATTTTCTCGATAATAACTTACAAATTAATTATATTTATATACAAATAAATATATATTCAGTATAAATATATATTTATTTATATTTTCTGGAAAGTGTTTTTATTTTTTTCAGCCAAAAATTCACTTAAGTTAGAGAATTGTCACTGACGTGATTCGAACCTAGTATTTTAGAATTGAAAGCTAATACTCCAACCACTAAACTACTCGTAATTTTCTCGATAATAACTTACGGATAAATTATATTTATATACAAATAAATATATATATCTGTGTAAATATATATTTATTTATATATATTTTCCGGAAAGTGTTTTTATTTTTTTCAGTAGAAAATTCACTTAAGTTAGAGAATTGTCATCGATAGGATTCGAATATAGTATTTTAGAGTTGAAAATTAATACTCCAACCACTAAACTACTATAATATTTTGATAATAATTTACAAATAAATTATATTTATATACAAATAAATATATATTTCGTATAAATATATAAATACAAATATATTTATATATTTTTATGTTGGATGTGAGGGCGCGATCGAGGGTGAAAGTGAGATTGACTCTCGTTTGAGTGAAAATACGTTAAAGCTCACGAAATTCACTCGTTCAAGCCTAGCTTGAGCAAAAATTGGTATTTTTCGCTTGAGCGAATGTGTCACTTGAGCGAATGATGCGTTTTTCAAATTTATTTTATATCATTATATAAATAAATTATAAATATTATATTCTGTCATTAAATTATAAACCCATATATAGAGACTCGCTCACAAATTTGGCATTAAATTTTGAAAACCCACTCGACACACACTTTCACCTTCGAGCGTACCCTCACATCCAATATATAAATATATAATTATATAAATATATCAAAATATATAAATATATTTGTATTTATATATTTACACGGATATATATTTATTTGTATATAAATATAATTTATTTGTAACTTACTATCAAAAAATTCGAGTAGTTTAGTGGTTGGAGTATCGACCTCCAACACTAAGGTACTGGGTTCGAATCCTGTCGATGACAAAAAAATAATTTGGTAATGCTTTAAACTTAAAAAAAATATGATAAATAATAAAAATATAATATAAAAAAGAGAGAGACCTAATAAAAATATAATATAAAAGAGATGGGGGATTTCTAGATAAATAGAGGGGTTGGAAAGGTTGGAAATAAATAAAAAAATTTAATTTGAAAAATCGAGACTTTCAACGTCGGTTCTATTTAACCGACGTTGAAAGTCTGATAACTTTCAACGTCGGTTAAATAGAACCGACGTTGAAGGCCTTATTTGTAGTAGTGCTAGCATGCAAAAGAGGTAATTGGAGTTAAATGGGTCTACAAAAGAAAGTTCAATTCGACGGCACCATACAAAAGCACAAGATCACGATAGTGGCGAAAGACTACTCATAACAATCTAGTATTAATTAGAACAAGACATTTATCGAGATAATATGAAACGATAAGTTCTTAGAATTACCAAAATTTGCATCAAGAAAAAGTATTCAAAGGTGATGCAAAATTCTAGAAAATAAAATTCTAAATACTACTAAAATTAGAAACTTCATATGGTAATATCTAAAATTATTATAATATTCTAAAAATGGTTAAAAGTAGAAGATAAATAATTTTAGAATTAAAAAAATTTAAAATTATCTAGAATATTATACACTAATTTGAACCTACTAAATCAAACTTATAAATAAACAATATCACTTACATAGTGAAAACTAATACAAACTCTTCTATATTTTCAAATTCTCAATTACTTTTCTAACCTCTTCACTTCTAAACCACAAACCATCCTTTTATATTCTTCCTAAATTACTAAGAATTTCATATTCTTCCTAAATTACTAAGAATTTTGAGTTTTTGTGAAATCATTTAATAGTTCAAGACCGTTTGTTTACTATCTCCCATTTCATATATAAAGAATAATATTATTTTTTATGAATTAATTTTCCTCGAAGTATACTTATTATTTTGATTTTTCCCAAATTTTATTATATATTTCTAATTTTTTTAGTCAAGAAAAACTTATTAAAACCAATTAAATCAATCTGAATACCCAAATCTTGAAAACTAAAGAAATCTGAACCCAAGATAGCAAGCAGGTAGGGATAGAAAGTACCTCGTGGATGGTTTTCTCTTGCAACTGCAGAGGTTGCAATTCGTGTTTGGCGTGAGCTAGAGCTAGAGTTTGTGTCTTTCTCCCAGGATAGGACCAAAAGTATTTGCCGAATTCTTTAGCCTTTTTCCGGTTCTTGTTCCTTTCATGCTTTGAGTGTTCCCGAGGTGCACAGTAGGAGAAGTAAATGACAATAACAAAAGTCACTGAAAAAAAATAGCCAACAGTAAGACCCAGCCTGAACGACTGAGGGAAATCGTTTGAGGTGTCCAATGAGCAAGGTGGCAAAGGCCCACCACAAAGCTCTCCATTATTGGCGTAATCAACAGAAGTTGAGCGTGAGAAGAACAAAGGCACCGACCCTGATAATTGATTGTTGGCAAAAGAAATTGATTTAATCCTGGGAAGTTGGCCAAGTTCATGGGGGATCTGACCGCTTAAATTGTTGTTATCAAGCCGAAGAGAATTGAGGTAACGGCACTTAGAGAAAGTAGGTGGAATATTCCCATTAAATTTGTTGAGTGAGAGATCTATGGAGGTAGCAAAAGGGAGTAATGTGGATATATCCAAAGGGATTGGTCCTGTGAGGTTGTTTTGTGAAAGGTCTAAGCTTGTTAATGACAAGCAATTCCGAATGCCCCGTGGAAACTGACCCTTCAACCCCATGTCTTGTAGAGAGATACCTAACACTTTATTCTCATCAGGATGCCAACATATAATGCCAATAAATTTGCATAGGAAACCTTCGGTTTTGTTGTTGAAGTTCCAGCTTGATAAGTAACCAAACGGATCTTCCAGTGAATCCTTAATGGATTTTAAGCAGTAAATGTCGCTTTCAACACCATGACCTGCCATAAGAGAACTGAGCAAAGAACACAAGAAGACCAGGATGAAAATATCCCTCTTCATATGGAAAGTCATTTCTGTGTAGATGCAGGTCAAAGATTAAACTGATAAGAATTTATAGTACAGAAATTGGCATCGAATTTTCGTTTGTCATATTTATTGATAACAGTCTAACACGTAAACGAGAAAATTATGGCACATAACCTTGAACAACAACTCAAGTACGCCAAATTTGAAACTTCGATCATGTTTAGGGATGACCGGCCAGCGGGTCAGCCCTCCAGACAAAAGCAGGATGGTGTTTTCAGTCCACGGATAGTGATTTCAGCCTACCGGTTTTGACCCGTCTTTGGAAGTCCGTCAAGCCACCAGATCAACCCCAAAAATGGAGTGGGCTTGCTACCGCCTAATTAATAAAACAATAAATTTTTATTATAATTAAATTAATTATAAAGATAATATATAAAGTTAAAAATTTCAAAAATAAGATTAAAAAATACAACATTGTCTCTCTTGTTCTCCTTGTTCATCCTAAGATCTGATTATTTTTATTTGTATGACTTGAATTAAAGGTGTAAGAATTACTCAACCAAAAATAATGTGAAATTTTATCAAATAAAAAAATATAGATATTTAAATTTTTCAATATAAAAAATATAAATTTTATAAGTTTTAATGTTATTTATATATATATATATATATATATATATATTATTTATTATTAATTAAAATAATATATATATATATTAAATTATTGACAAATAAATAACAATCTTATTATTATATTTATTAAAATAAATTATTTTAAAAATAATTTTTTTTTAAATTATAGCAGAGTTAGCTCGTCAAGTCTGTCTCTTAATGAGACGGGTTAAAATTTACAACCCATCATGACTATAATAGAGTCAGTTCGTCCCACCCTATTTTTTATGGAACATATGGTTAGCAGTTAGTGATTATATATTAAATGTCAAGTCAACCTACATTTTCTTCAAAGAATATTCAAATCCTAATTTATTAAAAAAAATCGCCAATATTTTGTGTGGATTATTCATCTAAATGATGAAAATTATAATTAATATGTTGAACAATATGCATAAAATGAGTATTTTTCCTTCAATAGGAATTATTTCATACTAATTTGAACCTCGTATCACAGGAGATTAGCAAAGTCTCATATGCTGTTAAATACAAAGACCATTTCGATGGCCACTTAACAAGCGAGGAACTTATAAATATTATATTATGCTTTTAAAACATATTTAAATACTGAGCTTCCGATTTGATCTCTAGGATATATATAACTATTTAATCTGCTTTTGGACGGATTGCGAAAAGTTCATATGAAATTTTTATTTTAGAAGTGATGATTGACGAGTCATGACACCATTTTGGCAGCACAAATAAAGAAAATAAATAAATGGTTGAATAGTATAATTAATTCATGTCAAATGCACTTACGTACTTATTATTAAACATTATTTTTTTAAAATAGTAAATAATAATAAATACAGGAGTTAATGATAATAAAATGAAAAAGTAAAAAAAATGTAAAATAATAAATATTAAAATAAAATTGTAATAAAATAATAACAATAATTAAAATTAAATTAAAATAGAATTTAAATAACTGAAATTTATAGAATTAAAATAGAGTTCTTTTTATTAAATTTAAAAATTAACATAAAAAAATGCAGAATCAAAAATTATTTTGAAATAAAATAGTGAAGTAATTAAATTTAAAATTTTCAAAAGTGATAAACCTAAAATTAAATTGAGAATTGCATGGGGAACTAAGTAATAAAAGAAACTTGAACAATAAAAAAAATGGATTCAAAAATTAAAATTCAATATAAACTAAAAATTTCAATAAAAATTGTAAATTAAATAAAAGAGAACAAACTCAAAGTGTTGTAAGAGTAGATAAGCTCACCTAACTAAAAATTGAGAATGGAAAAGAAAAGAAAAAAGACAAGACAAAACAACAACTCCCCTAGAAGCATGAGATTGTGATTGTGTTTTCATCAAACCTCTATTTAAAGGAGACTGGACAAAAGAAATTAAACCTGAAATTAATTATTTTAAAATCAAATAATTGCTAAATTAAAAATTACAAAACTCGATCCCTATGACAAAAAAAAATTGGGATTGATTTGGAGGAAATAATTTGTTTCTTTCCTATTTTGATTGATCCAGTATTGATTTGCATTTAATCCTTGATTCTCACTTGCCTTTAATTTGACTAAATTGAATTCCTGCACCAGTTAACTTGCTTGATTCAAAATTTTTATTTGTAAGATTCCATAAATAGGTTGCACAAGCAAAACTTAGGCTTCCGAGAAGAGTAAAGCTCAATTGCATCAATTTAGGTCTTTATTTTCATGGTCCATCTCAAATTACCTTTCTCCTACAAAAAAATATACTTGTGGATGTATGCATGTGTATTATTTATTTTTTTTATGCTAAAACTATGAAAAATGCAACAAATTAAGAAAAATTGAATTATGATATAATTTTAATAAAAACATGTTAAATGCGTGGTTTATGAAGAAAATAATTAACTTAAAAAATGCTCTTAAATCAATAAATAAAGAGTAAAATGACCTACATCAAATATTTTCCACTTTTACTCTTTTGCACTTCCAAGCAAAACATAAAAGAAAGAAAAAAAAATGTATGCATGTAATACAAAGATGGGTACTATCGCAAATGTTAATAACATTCAAAAAAATACAATGGTAAGGAAAAACTTCATCAATCAAAAGTGAGAGAATAAAAAAATCAAGATCATAACTCACAAAGTATCATCATGGTCAAGTACATTTTAATAGTTTCAGGGCTCATTTCAAGGGAACATCCTCTCGTGTTAAAGTGTTTACTCTAATCTTTCAAGTATTTATACTAAAAATTTCACTCATTATCACATCATGACATGAAATCGTCCTTTACCATAGGTTTGAAAGATCTCTAAATTCCCACCACTAGAACACATACCACAATAGATCAATAGGACTTTTTTTTGGTTTGCAATGGGGCTAAGGTAGGTTAAAGTAGGTAACACTCCTACAAAAATGGTAAATAGTGACTGAAAAATCGGTCACTAAATGATCAAAATCGGTCAATAATGAAAATAGTGACCGAAATAGTGACTAACTCGTGTCAATCACACACTTTTTGGTCACTAATGTACAATGATTAAATCACTAACCGAATTAGAGACCAAATGAGTAACTAAACCAGTGATCGAATGAGTAACTGATTTAGTGACCGAATTAGTGACCAAATGAGTAACTGAATCAGTAACTGATTTCATGACCGAATTAGTGATCAAATTAGTGACTGAATCAACAAATGAATTAGTAAACGAATCAGTGACCAAATGAGTAATTAAATCAGTGATCGAATGAGTAACCGATTCAGTGACTAATTCAGGTGATCAACTAAGTCGCCACTATATCAATCACTACTTTTATTTTCTAGTTTTTTTATTTCATTATATATCATTTAATATAAACTATATAAACACATGATCTATAATACAAAATTGATCATAATACCACTATATGAGATAATCATCAAAATAATAATACAAATATTTATCAACATGAAGGTACAAATGTTATTTAAAATAAAACCATCATCCATGAATTAAAAGTTCAAAAAAAAAAACATGTAGAAAACTTATAAAATAATAAAATACAGTAAGTAGAACAAAAGTTTTAGTTCATAATTTAGGAGGTTGAATGTCCATCTTCTTCATGAAGAGAAGTAACATTTTATTATTTTGCTGAATTTTTATATCATTAGTTAACATTCTTTGACAAAAATCATTCATCTTTATCTTAACTTCCTATAACTTGTGTTTTAATTGTCCAATCTCCTCTCTTATGAGCTGGTGGTTTGATGATGAAGTGGAGTCATGACAAAAAAAATTTCCAATTGTTTTGCTTGACTCATATCCAAGTCTTTGTTTATTCCATCAACTTGACACCAAATTTGTAATTCATTAGGAGGAGACTCTCCAATAATAGATCCTACTTGGGAGGCTTCTTTCCATGCCGAGTAAACTTTTTCTATAAACATTAATATAAAAATAATAATAAAATTAAAAAAACATAAAAATATCATTGACAATTGAAGACACAAGAAGGTGGAAGTATAGGTGCTTGAAGAGCTTCATAGTAGGTTAAGAACTTTATAACCGTAAAAATACCATAAAATAGTTAAAAAAAATGGTGAGAAATGGATGAAAAATAGGATTTTTAACTAAAAAAAGTAGAAAAAGAATGAGAAAAGAGTCAAAAATATAAAAAACTATGTATTTAGTTTAAAATAACATAATCACAACAAGAAAATTTGAATTTTTTGATCGAACAAAATCCGTCGAAAATTGTATTATCGATAAATATTACCGACGGATTTGAATAATCTGTCAAAAATGCTTAAACAAAACATTTTTATTTATATTTTATTTTTATTACACTTTGAATTATTATCAAATTAAAAAAATTGTCACTGACAAGATTCAAAACCAAGTATCTTAAAATTAGATATTGATATTCCGAGTTACTAAGCTACTACAATTTTTTTATAATAACTTACAAATAAATTATATTTATATATAAATAAATATATATCTATGTAAATATAAAATATATAAATTCAAATTTATATATTTTAAATATTTACCAACTGGATATATTTGTCGGTAACTAATTGTTCATTTACTTGACGGATATATTCGATGGTAAGACCAAATTTCACAATATTTTAAATCTATCGTAATTTTCATCAATAATTACTCATTTTTTTATGATTATATATCCATCAATAATTAATGATTTTCTTGTATTGAATAGATATGAAGTAATAATAATTATTAGATAATTACATATTATATATGAGAGTTTCTGGGATCGTTATATATGAAAATGTTTACATAACTTAAATAAAATATAAATAATATAATAAATACATAATCATTTAATTGCAGACACAATTTTTTCACAACTAATATTTCCCCAAAAAACCATGATGTGGGTTTCTATGACTTCAACAAGTGAACAATCCATCTA